ATTGCAGGTCTCACCACCATCTTATAGAATTTTCCCATAAGTTTGAGGGGGGCTTTTCTATCACACAACAAGCCCAATGCATTCCTCCACTTCAAGCATCCAACTTGAATTCTACTGATAATATCCCCATCTATTTCACCATCACTATGTTTACAAGGCAAAAAATAAATTCATAATTGTAAGCACCAAATTCTATGAATTTGAAACAAGCAAGCTTGGAAAACCAATTTGACAAGGATCAGGAACTTACAACTATATCTTCAGCCTTTCCCATGGCAATGGCAGCTCGCAGAGCCACTCTTCTGTTTTCATGAACAAAGATTTTATGATAGTTAGGAAGGGGAGGATAGCAATCACTTTCCCCAACTTGCAGATAATCGTTTATCGTCCAGCCAACGCCATCCAACATATCATCTAAGATATCCACTGAGGAATTGCAAAGAAAGCACTTTGAAAAGCTAGCATTGCAGTTCATAAATTAACAATTGAAAAAATTGTCTGAATTCAACATGATTTCATTTATTTAAAGAAACAGTAATCTCAAAAATACTAACTTGGATCTTCATTCCTTGGATTGTCGGATGTCAGAATAACCAGGTCACTCTTTTCAGCTGCAACTTGCGTCATCAATGGTCTCTTCCCCTTATCTCTTTCTCCTCCACATCCAAATACTGTAAGGGAAATAGCAAACAAAAAAATTTACAGTATGTCATATTATAGATTACTAATGATAACCACCATTGTCGTGTTAATTCTGCAAAAAAAGAAAAAAAAAAAGCTAGAAGTCATAAAAAGGAGAGGAGTTTTTCTATCGCTCTTGAGAAATCATGGCGACAAAAGTTCAAGCCTATTTTTCCTTTCCTTTCATCATATCAAAGTATAACTTAATTGTCTTTGTAAAGATTCATTGAAATTTAGCATTGTAATTACATTCTTGGAATTCTCAATCTGTGCTCTATTATAAAATCAAGAAACTAATCCTGGTTGGTAGTAGAAGCACATAACCACACTTACTAGATGAATTTTCCTTTTGGAGCTCTGAAGTGGCACAAATCCTTATATGTCATGGCTGAAGGATCCATCAAGATCTTATAGGAATCTTCTATTTATAGATGTCAAGTAGGCGGAAAATTATTACATGCGGCGCTCTGATTTGTCCAAAGGCAAATCCGGACGTGCCACATCACCCGGGGCCCAATACATCTGGGTGACATGGCGCGTTCGGATCTGAACACCATTCTTTTCAGGGAGATCATGCGTGATAATTAACTGGTTGAAAACCTAACATTTAGTTGCTTGAGGCTAGAAAACATGTTTTAAGGGTCATTTGGCTGTATGTAATTAGAAATCATACAAAAACCTTCAAGATTCCTAAATTGATTTCATTTTTAACACACAAAAAGAAATCATGCAAGGAATTTGCACAACTCATGATTCTAAAGCAACACTAGTATTATAGAACCCCTAGAAGTTGCAGTAATTCATCTTTTAAAAACACTGATCAATTCAGAACTTTGATTTCTGTAACTTGCAAATCACTCCATGAAATCCATTTGAAAAAAATAAAAAGAAATAGATACACTTGAAGAAGAGATGAATTTTAGTTTAATGCAAAAAGTTAAGGGATTAAATATTCTAGTTTGGTAAATCTTCAGGAAATGGAGAGGAAATCATCATACCAGTGATAACACGCTTTGACCCTAGCTCTCTCACAGCATCCAACAGACGAGATAAAGCATCCGGCGTGTGCGCATAATCGACAATCACCGGAAATCCTTGATTTTCATCAATCAACTCACACCTCCCAGGAACCCCATCCATCTGTTCTATTCCTCTCACAATTGCCTCCAGTGGCACATCCACTGCTATCCCAACTGAAACAGAAGCAAGAATATTGTATATATTATACCTTCCAATTAATTTAGAGCAAATCTCCATAGTCCCTTTTGGTGTGCCCACCAAAATTCTGGTCCTAAACAATGAAAGTTCAAAATCCAGAACCCGAACATCGGCATCCTTGTTCTCCATTCCAAAAGTCACTTGAGGAACATCTGGATTCCCCTTAGATAAGAAGTAATAAGCATTGGGGTCATCAACATTCACAACTTTCCTGTTCTTTTCAGGATCAAGCATTCTATCAAACAGCATGCCCTTGCTCTTTCTGTACTCATCTGTGGTACCATGGAAGTCTAGGTGATCTCTGGTAAAGTTGGTAAACACTGCAACATTAAAATCAATCTCATTGCACCTTCCTAAAACTAATCCATGAGAAGAAGCCTCCATGACAACAGCTTTAGCCCCATTAGTCACCATCTCTGCCATTAGCTTTTGCATTAGTAAAGCATCAGGGGTCGTATTGGGAGCTTCAAGCTGTTGATTGCCGTGAATATAGTAAGCAATTGTACCAAGCATTCCAGTTTTGGTCCCCATGGCCTCGTACATGGATTTTATCAAATGGGTTGTGGTCGTCTTACCGTTTGTTCCTGTGACTGCAATTACAGAAAGCTTCTCGGAAGGACGGCCGTAGAAAGAAGATGCGAGATTAGGGATTGCCGAATGGGTGTTCTCCACAGTGACGATAGCTCGGCACCCCAAGGTCTCCTCTTTATCGGGTTCTCTTTCAGACAACACGGCCACTGCTCCTTTGCTGATTGCCTCCGACAAGTAAGCGTGGCCATCCGTTTTGGTGCCCACCCGGCAAACAAAGAGATCGCCGGGAACAACCTTTCTGAAATCGTCCTGGATTCCGGTTATGCGGGTGTTCATATCACCGTAAATGGATAAAGGAGTGATTTTGCTCTTCTTCAGGAGCTCGCCCAGGGTAATGGGCAAAAAGGGTTCGTGGATGGAAGGCATTTCGAGGATTTCTTCGTTGGGGAAGAGAGTGAGGTCCTGCAGTCCATAAGGGTTTTCTTGGATGGTCTTTTTACTCTTATTAGGCAGGTTGGGAATGGAAGGAGAGAAAGGGCTGAGGAGAGATGAGGAGAAGCTAGCAGCGGGCTTGTTCTGCCCAACGGAATCGGAGGTGGCGGAGGTAGGAGGAACGAGGCGGCGGATGGAAAAGGAAGGTTTGGCGCATGG